AATACAACCCTGGAGTTATGATGATACTTCACTGATGAAACTGAAACTCAGAGAAATTAGCTTGCCCAATGTTTCCACAACAGAAAATGAGAGGCCTAGGATTTCATTTTCCAGTAAATGTTCCCATAGGCAGCTTCTTTACATTATTCATGTCTCTGCTCAAATGATCCCAGAGAAGCTTATTTTGTTGTTGTTGTTAGGTGCCGTTGAGTAGTGTCCAACTCACAGCGACCCTGTGTACAGCAGAACGAAACACCGCCAGATCCCACACCAGCTTCATGATCCTTGCTATACTTGAGCCCATTGTCGTAGCCAATGTGTCAATCCATCTTGTTGAGGGCCTTCCCCTCTTTCGCCAACCCTCTACCTTACCAAGCATGACATCCTTCTCCAGGAAATGGTCCCTTCTGATAACATGACCAAAGTAGGTAAGATGAAGTCTGGCCATTCTTGCAGCTGTCAGTCAACTACATCAATCATCCTGTGGCCAGCCTTCCCATGACTAGCACTTACCTTTTTAGTTACTTGGTAGCTGCCTCCCATCTGTTTCAGAAGTTTCTCTAATTAGTTGCCATCTGGCATGTAGTTTTTTTTGATAATATCTAATGAAATACACATTCCACTTTAATGCAGTACTCTAAAGAAAAGAAAAAAAAAAAAAAAAAAACCTCACTGCCATCAAGTTGATTCTCTTAACAAGCCCCATTGGTTTTCTGAGGCTGTAAATCTTTACAGAAATAGATTGCCCCATCTTCCTTCCACAGAGCAGGTGGTGAATTATGAACAGCTGACCTTCTGGTTATCAGCCAAATGCATTATCCACTGCACCATCAGAGCTCCTTAATGTAGTACTAGAGAATATAGAAAGGAACTCTGGTGGCACAGTGCCTAAGGCATTTGACTGCTAACCAGAATGTTAGTGGTTCAAACCCACCAACTGCTCAGTGGAAGGAAGATGGGGCAATTTACTTCTGTAAAGATTTACCACCTTGGAAACCCAATGGGGGTCACTATGACTTGGACTCGACTTGATGGCAGTGAATTTTAGAGAATATAATGGTTTATGAGTGATTAGGTCATCTCATTCCAAGGAATTTAGGAACTACTCACATCTTCCAAATGAAGGCTAGAGCCCTTTGTTTAGCGTTCTAGACCTTTTGTAACCTGGCCTTGTCCCAAACAGAAGAACTCTATCAGATTATTTGCTGTTCCCTGAAATTAATCTGCTTGAAATGACCTTTCCCAATCTCTTCTCATTGAAATATTTCTTATGTTTCCAAAGTTTGGCTCAAATACCCCCTTCCTTCAAGAACTATCCCAGTTAGAAGTAATCTTGTTCTCCTGTACTCTATTACATTGTCTTCACACCTCTAACATGACACTTAATATATACTTACAATGGAGTTGCAGTGCACAAGCACTTAGTTTATGTGAATTCAAGTCTCAGGAAAGTTGAAAGAGTGAATTTAAATTTAAACACTTCAGTTTTAACCACCAGTCCTATATCAGTTAGGGTTCAATAAGAAAAGCAAGACCCATTATGAGTGACAGAGAATAAGGGATTTATTATGGGCATTAGCCTATAATTGTAGGAGCTAGATAAGCAGCCTATGAATGGTGTTGGTCCTAAAATCAGTAGGGCCAGCAGTCAGAAAGAAAATATAGTCATTGTGGTAGTTCACTTTGTGTGTCAATTTGGCTGGGCCTGGTTGAGTGGCTGGGTAGCTGGACATAGTATTCCCTGTGATGAGACTGATAATCAATTCCATGGTGGTATCTACTGTGAATAGCTGAGTAGCTGCTTTGGGTATGTGGGAGCTGGAGGCAGAGCTGAAGCCCAAGGCTGAGGGCTTTCACCCAGCCCCTAGAGCCTGGCACTTTGAAGTCAGTCTTAAAGCCTCCAGACTGTAAGGGAATAAACTCCTGTTTGTTCAAGCCATCCCATTTGTGGTATATTCCTGTCAGAGCAGTACTAGGTAACCAGAACAGTCATGAACTAGAGGAAGAGTAAGTGACAACTGGAATGAGTGAGGATAATCTGGAACTCACATGGATCAACTAGGACCTTTTAGGACAAACTTCTGTCTTTTCGCTACATCCAACCTCAGTGATATGAGTGACCTATAGGATGAGCTGACGACCATTTTATATTCCCACCAGCAATGTATAAGGGTTCCAATTTTTCCACATTTTCAACAACACTTATTACTGTCTTTTTAATTATAGTCAATCTAGTAGGTATGAGGTGGCACTTCATTGTGGTTTTGATTTGCCGTTCCCTAATGACTAAGGAGGGAACTCTGGTGGCATAGTGCCTAAGGCATTTGACTGCTAACTAGAAGGCTGGTGGTTCAAACTCATCACCTACTCCTTGGAAGGAAGATTGGGCAATCCACTTCCCTAGAGATAATGCCTTGGAAACCTAAGGAGGGTCACTATGAGTCATAAAAGGACTTGATGGCAGTGAATTCCGCCACCCCCCATGACTAAGGATGACGTTAAATATCCTTTCATGTGCTTATTGCCCATTTGTATATCTTCTTTAGAGAAATTCTTCACGTTTTTAAAATAACATTATAAGTCTTTTACTGTTGAGTTGTAATTTTCTTTATATATTTTAGACACTAGGCTAAATACACTAGATACTAGACCAAATGCCAGTAGGTATAAATCAAATATGATTTGCAAATACTTTCTCCCATTCTCTGAGCTGTGTTTTCACACTCTTGATTTCCAAAGTTTTAAATTCAGATGAAGTCTATTTTTTTTCAGTTGCTTGTGCTTTTGATGTCATATCTAAGAGACCATTACTAATCCAAGGTTACACAGATTTTCACCCATGTTCTTTTCTAAAAGTTTTACAGTTTTAGTTCTTATATTTAGGTCTTTGATCCATTTTGAGTTAATCTTTGTGAATAGTGTGAGGTAGGAGCCCAATTTTACTATTTTGCTGGCCATCCAGTTGTTCCTATTGATTCTTTTAAGTAAATATTTTTCATTGTCTTGTTATCCTGAAGTGAGGTTTATTGGTAAAAACTTATGTACTCATACTAATTAATTTTAAAATTAATATAAAGCCATACCTCTAGTATAAATGGAGAAATAAAAGCTAAGTAATGTATGAAATAAAACATATTTCAACATATATATGTCCAGGCATGACTACACTGAAAGAAACAAGTCACAATAAGCTTTCATACAGGAAGACTCAGGAATGCAGCTATAAATGCAGACTGATTCAGGCTACTCAGCAACCAGCAGCCTTGTTGCAATGATAGTTTTCCAAAATGATGAAGAATTTTTAAATTCTGAAAAAAAAAAGCATAATCTTCTCAAAATTTACTTCAATTTTTCAATTTTGAATTCTTGGAAGATTAAATGATAATAAAATTAAGCAAAAAATACTTTGTATTTACAAGTAAATTGGATTTTTTTCTAGGCTCATAAGCAGCTTCCCCTCCCCCCACCCATATGAATCTGATGGTATATTCAAAGGGGGGGGTATGGGACAAGTCTTCATTGTGCAGGGATGTCTTGCATGTTGCAGGCTGTCTAGCATCCCTGGTTTCTGTCCACATTATGTGTCAGAAGTTCCTCCTACCTGCCATCATTGTGACATTTGCCATCATTGTTCTGCATTATCTATTAAAATTGACCCTGTGCCTTTGCCATGATTCAGTAATCTGCTTCTCACTATATACACAACAGAGATGAGTACATGTGTACAACAGAAGTTTTGTACTAGAATTTTCAAAGCAACATTCCTAATAGCCCCAAATTGGAAACAGTTGAAATGCCCCTCAGTAGTAGAATGGATTAAAAAAGGAACAATATACAACAACAAAATGGATTAACTGCTACTACACAAACTATGGTTGAATCTCACAAACATAATATTGAGTGATGGAAGGTGACACACAAAAGAATACATGCTATGATTCCAAAAGTTCAAAAAGAGACAAAATTGTCCTATAATATTTGACGGAGCAGTAATGAGATGTGCTTCAGTAGTACTGGTAGATTTCTATTTTCTGACCTGGGTGGGGTTTATATGGGTGTGTTGAATTTGTGTTAATTCATTACAGGTAGGGCAGAGAGCCTGAACACAATTCCTAAGAGTGAGATGAGTGAAACGTCTAAGGGGGAAAATAATTTTTAAGAAAGCAACCCCCTCCCTAAACCTCCAACTCTCCATTTCCTAGGAGGGGAACCAAGGTAAAATCAAAACCAAGAAACAAATTACAATTCAAGCTCAAATCCTCAAACAGGTCCAGAGACTCAAATGTCCACCACTCTGGGCAAGTCATTCCGAGATTTGTCCAAGACGATTACAAAAGGTTAACCCTAATGACTAAGTCTCTTCCCCATGCGGGGAAGGGAAAATAACAAAGTTTAAAAAAAGAAAGAAAAAATTAAGTTGCTTGGTGATCTCTCCAAGCTCCCAACCGCCAGGGCAGGCTGGGGCTGGACGCGTCATCCTAGCAGGCGGGGCCGAGTCCCCACTTTGACGCTATAGCAACAGGGCGAAGCATTGTTGCGTCATAGCAACGCGCTCTGCCCTCCCCTCAGCTGGGCCCACTCTACATTTGTCTTTCACCTTTCGTGGTACTTCTTGCTCAGCCACCTTCCACTTGTTTGTTGGGGGCTCTGTGTGGTAGAGAGGGCCCGAACTTGCACCTCCGACTGAGGAGTGGGGCAGCTCTCGGGGCTCCTGCGGTGGGAGCCTCCGGAAAGCCAAAGCAGGAGGGAAGGAGGGCGAGAAAGAAGATTTACGTTTTTTTTTTTTTTTTTTAAGGAAGAAAAGTCAGAAAAAAGAAATCAAGATTTTTGTAATTTTGATTTTTTAGAGCACACCCGGAGCTACGGGGAGAGACCTGGAGAGTGGGAAAATCACTTGTACAAATTTCATATAAGAAAGGAAGAAAAGACCAGTCGAGACTCCGTACAGAGGCTCGGAGTCGCGGAGGCCGGCAGCAGCCAAAGCTGACTGGGGACTGGAGATGTTGGACACTATCGCCTGTGCCGTGCAGGAGCTGGGCAGGCAGGTGTTGCCCACGCTTCCTTCGCTGACCCAAGAGGGTAAGCGTCATGGAGTGGGGACCCTGAGAATGAGACTTCCGGGCACTGTGGTCTTTCTTTATTAGCTGGAGAGGTGGGGCTGAAGTCTTGCTTTCTTACTTCTCAGCTCGGGCCTGGAGTGGCCGTTGCCTTGACAACCACCTGTTCATCACGTCAAGCCCCAGTCGAATGCTGAGTGGGATAGGTTCTTTATTGGTTGCCCTAAGGAGGGAAAGGGGCTAGTTGCAAGTTTTGATTAAATGAGATAATGCATATTCAGCATTTAGCTCAGGGACTACAACAAAGTAAGAGGGCAATAAATGTTAGTTAACTCCTGTTTCCCTCTGGGGTAGATGAGAACCCTTGTGCCAATTCTGAGAAACAACCCTAAAGTAAAGCTGTTTTACAGCAAGGGTGTATGGCTCTGTCTCAGAGTTCATATAAAGACAGGGCTGCTTTTCTCACCCTTGACATCTTGGGGTTGTATTAAGAAAGTGAGATGGTCATAAAAAGATAACTGTTTGGAAGTGTTTGGGTGAGGACCTGGTAGCTTGTTATAGAAAACTTAATCTGCTTTAGTACGATTTCTTAAACGAGTCATCCCAAAGTAATGTTGAGATCTGCCTGCAAGCGATAGAATCCTTGGGAAGAAAAATGCTCAAGAAATGGAAGCTATTATTATCATCAAGCCATTACAATTTAGGCTTTACCAAATTATTTTCCTTTCCCAGGATTACTTCTATTTTTTTTCCCTTTCAAAATAATTCTAAAATAAACACTAAAAAAGTTGGCTGGGTTAAAAATAATTGCTCTATTTATAAATAATTTATTCATTCAAATAATTTTGAGGACCTACTACCGTGCTAGGAGCTCTGGTGGTGTAGTGCCTAAGGCACTTGACTGCTAACCAGAAGGCTGGTGGTTCAAACCCACTAGCCACTCCTCAGAGAGGAGGTTGGGCAATCTACTTCTGTAGTGATGCCTCCTCGGAAACCCAAGGAGGGGTCACTATGAGTTGGATCCCACTGGAGGGCAGTGATTGCTTTGTGTTTTGCTATGTGTAGCTTAGTGGCTAAACCACTTGACTGCTAACCAGAAGGCTGGTGGTTCAAACCCACCAGCCACTCCTCGGAAGGAAGGTTGGGCAATCCTACTTCCGTAGTGATACTGCCTCGGAAACCCAAGGACGACTCGCTATGAGTCGGGTCCGACTGGACGGCACATAACAACAACAACAACAGGCACTAGAGAACTGGCAGAAAACCCTTGAGATTTACAATCTAGTGGGGGAATATACACGTTAATCATATTAAGACAGAAATAAATGTAAATTTGTATTTGTGGTAAGTGCTAACAGGAGGAGATGTATGGTACGATGACTTTTTTTTTTTTTTAAATTGTGGTAAAAATATAGCAAAACATTTTCCATGTCAACATTTTTCAAGTGTAAAGTTCAGTGACATTACTTAGGTTCATGTTGTGCAACCATCACTGCTATCAATTTCCATATTTTTCCATTTTCCTGTCCATTTCCATATACCACTATCCTTTTCCCTTAATAGAAACTCAGTGTCACTTACCAATGACTCTCCCTTTCCTGCAACTTTTTTTTCCCATTTTTAAAACTTCTTTTATTGTGAAAAAAAATATATATATATATATATATATATATTCTCAAAATATTTGCCAATTTGGCATTTGTTACATGTACAATTCATTAACATTGATTGCAGTCATCGTGTTGTACAGCTATCACCACTATTACCAGAAACTTGGTGTCCCTTAAGCAGTGACTACCCCTTTTCCCTGACAACTAATAGAGGTTGAAAATAACTGTGTGTGTCAAGATTTTCTGAAGAAGGGATAATTTGAGCTGTGATGTGAAGAATGGAGTTCCAATTTAGTAGGTGAAATGGATGGGAAGGTGGATGGAGAAGAGATGAGAGTGTTCTTGGCAGAGGAAATGGCAAGGGCAAAAGGTTTGTGGTGGTGGGGGAGCATGGTATGATTGAGAAATTGAAAGAAGGCTACTCCGTAGTTATCAACCAAACCAAACCCACTGCCATCAAGTAGATTTTAACTCACCACAAGGGTATAAATGAGGCAGGAGAGAGGGAGAGGCCAGGTCATGCAAGGCTTTGTAAGTCATATTAAGGCGTTATGTTGGTCTTTATGTTAAGAGTGATGGGAAGTCATACCATGTTTTGAAACCAAAAAAACAAAACTCACTGCTGTTGAGTTGTCTCCAACTCATAGTGACCCCTCCTTGGGTTTCTGAGGTAGTATTACTGAGGAAGTAGATCGCCTAATCTTCCTTCCGAGGAGTGGCTGATGGGTTTGAACTGCCAGCCTTCTGGTTAGTAGTCAAATGCCTTAGGCACTATGCCACCAGATCTCCTACCATGTTTTGAATGGGCAGTAAAGAGGAAGTGGGTCAACTTGGTCAGGGTTGTGTTTTGAAAATGTCACTTTAGTTGCAGTGAGTGTGGAGAATGAATTGGAGGGCCAAAAGTGCCTTTAGCAGCAGCCTAGGTGAGAGCAAATGGTAGCTTGGTCTAAATTGCTAGCAGTATAAGTGGAGAGAAATGGATAGACTAAAGGTTTATTTGGAGTAAAACCCACACATTATGGTGATGGACTGGATATGGGGGGTGGGTGGGGAGGAAGTAGAGAAATCTCAAGGATGACTCCTGAGTTCCTGGCTTCTGTAACTGAATGGATGATGATATACCATTCATTGAGACAGAAACCTTGAAATAAAGACAAGAATTAAAGGAAGGAAGATCCTGGTTTTAGAGACATTAAAGAGACTTTGTGAGATATCCAAGTAGGCAATTGGATACACAGATCCAGAATCTTAAAGGGGAAATCTAGGCTTGTAAATGAACATTTGGGAGTTATCTGCATGTAGGCGATAGTTAAAGCCCTGAGCATGGATGTGGTTGCCTAGCAGAAAACATAGAGTTCAAAGATAAAACAGCTTAGAATTCCCTGAAGTATCTTGAAGAACTCCAACATCTAACTGGCCTGAGGAGGAGAAGCCTAAGAAGGAGACTAAGAAGAAATGGCCAGGGAGATAGAAAGAAAACCCAGGAGAGTACTTCATATAAGCCAGAAAGAGAGCTGCTTAAGAAAGGAGGGCATGGTCCATAGTGTCAGATATGACTGAAGGGTCAGAAGAGATGAGAACTAAACATGCTCCTGAATTTATTGACAAAGAAATCATTGATGACTTTGGCAAGAGCTTTATTGACTGAATGATAGAAGCAGGATCCAAATTACTATTTATTTTACCAGCTCTCACAAATGATCTGTTCTAAAAGGGATGAAGATGAACTGATGAACTCCAAACCTCAGCAAGACATCTACATTAGCTTTTCATCATTGTATATTTTAAATCCTGATGCTGCCTTACATTTCACCAGAGTTTAATATTATACAATTATAGTACTTAGAAAGTCCATCATCATTTTACAGATGGGAACTGGGTGACCTGTTGAAGACTGATAATCCTTGGAAGCAGAGGACCAAAGGTCTTCAGACATGTAGCACACTGCTCTTTTCATTATATTCACTCTGGGAATATGTCTCTTTGTTCAGATAGCCCCTTAAGATTCTCTTAATATTCTGTTTGCATATTGGTATTTTAGTTTTAGGAAATAAGTTTAATGAGGGAACTTATCTTTTATTTTTGATATGTCCAATTCAAGCATATATTCTATAATTTGTATAATGGGCACTTAGTTCTTCATTATGATGATCATATATAAGATATTCTACTCTTCCACTTGGCATTATGTTTTAAAATACGGTTTTGAATACAGCAAATGTTTGGAATATGAAACCAAATGGAATTTGTACTGAATTTAGAAGGTATACCTAGGGATTAGTTCTTGATAACAGTGGTTTTTGATGTTTTAGTGCTTGGAAAAAATAATAAATAACCCCAGCTTTCATAAACATAAAAATAGCATACAGTTTTTTTTTTTTTTCTGACTTCTAACTGAAAGATTGGAGGTTTGAGTCTACGCAGAGGTGCCCTGGAGAAAGACTTGGTGCTCTACTTCTGAAAAATCAGCCATTGAAAACCCCCTATGGAGCCTTCTGGTTAGCAGTCAAGTGCCTTAGGCACCAGGCTATGAGATGTCAGTATAGTCAAAATTAGAAGTCAGAATGTGAAAAATGCCCAAATGTTTTCCAGGTGAATTGCAGGGATCTAAAGTTTCCTAAGGAGCTCTGGTAGCATAGTGCCTAAGGCACTTGACTGCTCACCAGAAGGCTGGTGGTTCAAACCCACCAGCCGGTGGTTCAAAGGAAGGTTGGGCAATCTACTTCCATAGTGATACTGCTTCTGCAACCCAAGGAGGGGTCGCTATGAGTTGGGTCTGACTGAACGGCACATAACAACAAAGTTTCCTAAAAGATTATATGCCTGTTTTTCTTTTTCTTCAGTGAGAAATAGCAAATTACAGTTTGGAATAATTAAAAATCCTTGTAACTGGACCAGTAAGCAACATCATAAATGGAGAAAATATTGAAGCAGTGATTGTGAGGATGGTATAGGACCAGGCAGTGTTTTGTTTGTTGTACATAGGGTTGCTATGAGTTGGAACTGACTCAATGGCACATAACAACAACAATCAGTTAGATTTTTTCTTGAGCAAAACAACATGGTACATTGAGCATCTCATCTAAATGAAGAAAGATGATCTTGAAATCTACAGTTAAGCTCAGTCAAGTCTTTTCACTAGGATTTGGTTACAACCTATACAATTTCTCCTGGCACTAATAAATAGTTTCTTCTTTGGTACAGTTGCTTTCTCTGAAATCTGACCTGCATTTCATGACTCTAGTGGAAAAATTTTTGAAGTTATACAAACATAACAGTTTTAACTTAAAAAACATTGAAAATTGCCCAAGTAAATGAGTATTAAGATTCCTAATTACTAGTAAATTAATGACACTTGGTCAACACTGAAAATTTTAGTTCAGTATACAATTGGGACTGGTTGAAAGTCCTTCTTAGTTCTTAGCAGCAGGAGAATTATTTGGGCTGTGGGAGTGGGGAAGGCAGTGCGGAATGCAATAGATTGGGTCGAATAGGGGAAACCCCTGATTATAATGAGCTGTGCATCCATGATTTGGAGTGAAGGGCAAAATTGGGCACTGATGCTCATGGTGGCATGTGACCCTAGTTTCATTGGTGAGTGAATGAGTTTCTACCACTAAACTTGTTTCCAGAAGCCCATGAGAGTCACTGCTACTTCTCATCTGCCAAATCCGCTCCTTCCCTGGCCTATTAATAACAGTATGTATGATTCTTGTGTGCCATAATTAAAAGATTGGAAGCTTCTCATTTAGTTAGTGGTTTAAATTATTAGAAAAAGAAGTTAGACTCTGGGAATATGTTTCTTTGTTCAAATCAAGTCAGCAGTTTCCAAAATGGGTGACACATTGATCTTTTGTCACTAACTGCATCTATGTCCTAAAGTGATAACCTGGTAAATGTCACTGTTCTTGATCTTTTATTTTGAGAATTTAAATTTAACAACCTTTTAATTTGTATAGTGTACTTAATTGGAGAACATCTTTAATAAACACATTATTAGTTTGAGGACAGAGATGTCAACACAGGAATAATTTTCTGTATTTTAAATATTAGTCATACCCAACAACATTATTAGTTAATGGCAGCTACTTACTCTGCTACCACATTTTTTGGAATGTAGCTCAGAACAAAGAAATAAACATAGAAGGCCTCTGATTTGTTAAAGTAGTCAGTGAAAAGTGGATACACTAATTCACAATAAACTCAAGGGAATGTTTTTAAAATTTATTATTTTAGATATTAAGTACATTTATGGTTTCAAGAACATAGCAGATGAGAAATAGTGAATTAGGAATGGAGGGAGCCTGTGGAGAGAGTGGAGTAGAGAGAAGTGACAGCTGATTGTCTAATGGTAAAAAAAAAAGAGAATGAAAAGCAAATTCAAGAATTTAGCAAAAGAGAAGTGTGGGGCCAGTCAATGTATAGACAAACTTTCATATCTCAGTAGCCCTTGGCCTTATTCCTGTGTTATAGTATGGTATAATAGTGAATGTTCATATTAATTACATGGCACAGAGTAGATACTTGATAATACTTGTTCAATGGGTAATTAAGAAAAAGTTACAGAGCAAGGAAGAATGAGAAAAACCAAAGATGCATGAAAACAATTAGTCCAAGGGACTAGTGGACCATGTAAACCTCAGCCTACATGATCCTGAGACTGGAAGAACTAGATGGTGCTCAGCTACCACTGTCAACCACTTGGAAAGGGATCGGTGCCGGAGATCCGGGATAAAGTGGGAGAATACTGTGGAACAGAAAATCATAGGAAAGACAAGCCTTGTTGGTCTGATAGAGACTGGTGAAACCCTCATGACTATGGCCCCTAATCACCCTTTGGGCCTGGAATTGAACTCACTACTGTGGCTTCCAGGCAAACAACAGGCGAATAAGGTGAACATTTACACCAGATAGGTACAGTCCTTAGAACAATCAAGCATGGGCAATCAGAAGGGTAGTATTTGCACAGGGAGATAGCTCAGAGGGCATGGGAAAGAAGGACACAGTGAAAAACTAACTACAGGGAGGAAGTGGGTGGAGAGCCATTGCACTGTGGGGATTGCAATCAATGTCATGAAACAAAATGTGTATGAACTCTGGTATGGAAAATGAATGTGCTTTGTAAACTTTCACCCAAATCTGGGATTGTTTGCTCAGCATACAGATTGAATAAGTATGGTGAAAAGATACAGCCTTAATGCTCACCTTTCTTGATTTTAAAACTTGTTTTAAAATTTGTTTATACTTAATAACAGTATTTAGTTTACAATAGGAATTACTGTCATTTGAGTCTGCATTTCATATTTACTTCCCCCCCCCCTCTGGGACATAAGATATCACATAGGTGCTTATACAAGTTAAATTATTTTTGGTTTTCTTGAATTTCAGAAGTCTCTACTATTTGGGGGCATGTGTCAGAATTTGTGGAACATCAGCTAACTCTGCACAAGGTAGGATTTATACTTTCATTTTAGTGTGGTAGTCCGAAAGATCTTTCCTTCATAGTCATGTATTGTTTTGCTGAGAGCAGAAAATAGACTTCAGAGCCGTCTGATTTCACTTTCAGCCTTGTGATTTTATGAAGCTCATGCTTAGGAGATATGGATAATAGATTTAACAAACAGAGTATCCTTAAGTAAGGAATTTGTAAGTTCTTTTAAGTAATAATAGAAAGTAGTGCTGATCAGCCTGAGTATGTATAGAGGAACTAGAGGAGTTCTGTTTATCTGCAATCTGATAATTCCAGGCAAGACTATAGATGGATACAATATGTCTTGTCTTGTTTCATTGCAGGGAATGGATTTTAATTGGAATATAATAAGAGAGTCAGGGACTCAGCTTCCAAAAATAAGAAACAGGTCCAGGCTGGACTATTTCCTCATAACAAGTTTTGGGTTGGCATGCCATAGAACTGGAGAGAGATTTTCGGAGGAAGTTGGAGGGAGCTAGGAAGCTGTGGATCTGGTAACATAGTACGTAAGGCATTTGACTGCTAATCAGAAGGCTGGCAGTTCAAACCCATCAGTCACTCCTCACAAGAAAGATTGGGCAATCTACTTCCGTAGTGATACCACCTTGGAAACCCAAGGAGGGGTCGCTATGAGTTGGAATCGATCAGATGGCAGTGACCTTGGTTTTTGGTTCAGAGGACCCAATATAACAACAGTTGGGTGGAATTCATCCTCCAAAGTTATTGTTTTTGTCCTGAGAATTTGAATTAGTATTTACCACCTAAAATTAGGAGTTTGTATAAAAGTTTGTATTTCACCCCCCTATTTTCTCTTGAAGAATCAGCAGATCTAACAAGAGTGTGGTCTTCCATTCCAGTGTGGTGATAGTTGGCTGGAGCTGACAGTAGGGACATGCACATTCCAGCCTTTATATCTCCTGTGGCTATGTCACTCCCTTCCATTCTTTCTTGGTCCCTTAGGCATTTGAGTTTGCAACCCTTGACAAATGATTTCTCCAGGGAAATAGAAACCTGTTTGATAGCCAATAGTATTTGCATTCAGGAAAGACCAGTGCACTGCAGCATTTGCTTTGGATGCTGGGTTGCCTGATTTGAAGTCAGAGATATAAAACCTAAATGAAGGAATGAAAAAGGAAAGATTCTCATGCCCTTTAAAATTTCCTCCCTCTAATAGTAAATCTAAGATGTAGATTAAAAGAAGCTGTGGCATCCATATACGTTTTCTTAGTTGTCCATAGCCTTCTAATGATATGGGGGTGAGGGATGTGATGTCAGTAAAGTATCATGGGTTGATATATTCCAACAGATTACATTTTATACTAAATTTACTTGAAAACTTATTTAGAGTCATAAAATGTTATAGCTTTAAGGGATCATAGAGATCACTGCATTTTGAAGACGTGAGCTTAATTCTCTTCATATTCTTTGGATAACTGCAGAATATCATTTTTCTTCATACATTCAGTGAAATTTCTTTTCTCTTCTTTTTTATTTCAGGGCGTGCAGATTCCAGGGCTTGGAATTTTCACTTTCACAAGACAAAAGCTTGATGTGGGAAACAACAAATTTATTCTAATTCAGAGGCCCGTATTTATTATGGCAGAGAAGTTAGTACAGCTCCATGGACTTAAACAAAACAAAGTATATATTCCTGGTAAGTCATTTTAAGATTTAAAATTTGCCCAGAAGGTTATGGGCCTGAGGATGAAAATGAAAAGGCAAATTGGCAAAAACAAAACAAAAAACAAACCCAAACCTATTGCCATTGAGTTGATTCAAAGGTTGGCCAACTAATACTTTATTTGAAGCTATCACTTTTCACCTGGTACTTTGACAGAGGCAGGGGCTGAAGTGAGGGACTGAGGAAAATAATATAGAGTCTTTCTGTGGGCCATTTTAAACCTCAATAACTTAAGAGGTAGGCATTGAGAAGATTTGATGTGATATCAAGGCAAATTAATATAAAAGCCACATCACAGTGTTATATAGAGATATTCTTATTTTAGAACCTAAGAAACTAAAAGCAGTTATAAAGAAAAAAAAAATTAGCTAGGTTACTTGGTTGGAAGAACTATAGTCATTATCAACTGCGAAAAAGATTATTAATGTTTCTATCACATATATAATCTAAATCAGTCCATTTTATAGGTTAGAAGTTTAACAACTCCATAAAGACTCAATCTATATTTTTCTCCTAACCTCAAGCCAACCTCCTTTCCTCCCTCCCTCCCTCCTTCCTTCATTCCTTTCATATTTATTTACTGAGGACCAACTATG